ACTACAAAAAACCACACTTTCCCATCCTACTCTGAAAGTGCTGTAATCTGCAGTGGCACTCATTGTGCTTGGCCAGCTTGCCAGAGGCAAGCCCTTGGACTGTCTGATACAAAATTAATAGTTGTGGTGTACATGTTTCTCAAAGTTACACTTTCTGCACCTATGGTGTGGACCCTCACTACACATGTTTAATTCCAGTTTTGGTACACATCTTTATCCCAGTTCCAGTGCACATGTTTAATCCAACTTCTGGTACACATATTCAATCTCCATTCTGATACACATTTATCCCAGATCTGGTGTATACCTTTCATCTGAATCATCAATGTTAGGCTTAGACCTTAGACCTGGACACAGCACTCACTTCGCTTGGCCATGCCTGCCAGAGGCAAGCTGTCCCCCCAGTACATATCTTTATTCCAGTGATACAGATGAAACCATTTCACCCATATAAAATTCAATTTTAATGATTTTACCGATAAAGGTCATCTCTAATAAATACACTACATACAATTGCAATGATACAAAGAGTCAATGCGCATACCCGGCGCAGTTGACTAAAAATGCAAATGTGTGGAATCTGAAAATAGGACAAGGCTTTGGAACTGGCAGCAGTACACGTCGTGACATTATACTTGAATCCTATCTAAGATTCACCTACCATGAAATAGAGCACGAAGAGGTTCTAGAGTAAACACCCAACGCAGGGAGAAGAATTGCATTACTACCAAAGGGTTTAGAAACACATAATGGATTTATTGTGAAAACTCATGCTTATACAAGAAATACAGAAAAGACAACATAGACGCTTAAACGGCATGTCTGAAACATTGAAAGACTAAACTACACCTAGGTAGTAAACGTATGAAGACTTAGCGTGGCTCACGGCCATTCAGAAAGTCATGTACGGCAGTTCCCGCGTACGCATCAAAGACTGATGCGTCTGAACGTCACAAGTACAAACATGAGAAAAAGACACATTCTATTATATGAAATATAATAAGAACCCCCTGACAATTAAGAAAGACATTTGAAAACACCTTCGGAGTGTCTCCCGACCTCCGTAATGAAAAGACGAGCCAAGACAAGGCATTTTAATTAAAAACTCGGAAGCAATGGAAGGCCGAAGACTATTGGTAAACGCGTACACATGCGCATCAATGCATCAGGAAACGTTAATCATTTTGTGATGTCATCTGTCAAACCAGTAAACTGGGCCATAGAAAGAAACACGCGAGATCATGCCAAGCTAAGAATAGCTACGTCAGCTAACTCCGCGTACGCATCAAACACTGATGCGTTTGAAAATGAAAGACGCGACACTACAAAATCTGTAGTGTTCACAGAGATAGACTACAAAATATACCACACGTTC